CCCCCCCCCTCAAGGGGGAAGCAAAACTGCAAAAGGATTGTGCTTTCTTCTAAAGCAACTTTTAGCAATTTACAAATAATTAAGCAAGCAACACAGTGACTTCTGGTTAAAGACGTTGCAGTTGTCCCTCCCCCACCCTTGGACACAAGTAGGGCACAGACCCCAGGTTAAAATAAGAAGAAATTTAATACAACAGTGTAATAAACAATCTGAACAGCAACAGTAGCAATGATAACAACAATAAACAGCAATAACAGTAAACAAGACAAAAGATATACAGAGAAATACCGCAATGGATACAGACAGCTCGCTCGCTATGCTCCCGCGACCAAAGCCACAAAGGAAAAAGTTCCCATGCTCCCGTGCCCAGACCCGACATCAGCATGGTAAGAATAACCCAGCTGGAGATCCCTTCCCCCTCTCTCTCTTAACCCTATCCTAGCTGAACCAGGACACTTCTTGTTGAACAACTTAAACTGTTCAACCCTCAGGTGCAGTTGCTCCCCAGACTGGCAGCAGCCTCCCTGCTCAGATGGTGGCACTTAGTCCCAACCACTTTTCCATTTCCAAGCAAGACATAAGTAGGGCAAGTATCAGAGGCCCTGGGAGGTGGCACATGTCTGTGTTACAGGAGAGGGAAAGACGTGGCCGTGTAGCTGGAGCTCTCCAGCTCTGACACGGTGCTGGGGAGCACACAGCCAGGCTGCCGGGGCCTGCACGGTGCTGCAGTTCAGAGACTGTCCCCTGAGCTTCACAAACACTGCCCAGGGACAGACCATGAGCTGTTTCGGGAAAGACCTACTGAGAGAAGGAGGCACATGGGTAAGGCTTAGGAGGACCTCATCACAGTTCAACAGCAGCTACAAAGAGAACGGAGGCTCTCTCTTTGGAAGGAGCCACGTGGAGAGGATGAGAGGCAACAGGTACAAGCTACATTGGGAGAGGTTTCATCTTGGTATATGAAAGAAATCTTTCACAGTGAGAACAATTTATCCCTGTAACAACCTCCACAGGGATGTGATGGAGTCCCCATCACTGGAGATTTTCAAGGTGCAACTGGACAGGGTGATAAATAATCTCACCGTGCCTTCCTTCTCCACAGAAGGTTGGACCAGATGATCTTTCAAGGTCTCTTCCAAATTGAGCTGTTCTGTGATTCTAAGTCTTGCAAACAGAAGCCTCTCATTGGAGAGCGCAGATAGGATGTGACTGAAGTGACTGAAAAAATGGGGTCTTGTAGAAGCTCTGTTGGGAGCAGTAAGAGTCTGCCACGTCTTACACATACAGGGTTCCCTTCTCTGGAAAGCATCAGTGTTTACTTTTATTCTCATGGGAAGATGCAGCTTCCCAGGGGGAAAATGGGAAGTGAAGCTGCTTTGCAGAGGAATGCTTCCCTGTGTCAGCAAAGGTGTGTGGGCAGAGGCTGGGCTGCGGGTTGCCTACCTTCCTGGTGAGGACGTCGTTAGAATGAGCTCAGGACGTGGTTCGACCGACAGAGCCGCATGTTCTCGTGGAGGGTGTAAGACCACTGGAAAGCGGCATCGCCGTGCTTCCTCTGGAGGTAGCTGAGAAAGAACTCGGGAAGATTGGATCGTGTCCCTGTCTGCAGGTAATAAGTGAGTAACTTCCAGCACTAAATCAAATCTGCCTATTTGATTCCAGCTGTTTTGTGTCTAGATGTCTGTCTTCTGGGGATCTCACACCGTGCTGACACAGTGCCAGTGCTGGCTGGAGTCTTCCCCATTATTGGGTTGTTCAAAATGTTTGAACAAATCCCAGGTTTGTCCTCTAACTGTGGGTAAGTTCACAGTGAAGCTCTTCTGTTGCTAAGATCACTGATAAAGTCTCTCTTCTACCTATTTTTGTGAAATATGTAGGAACTTGCTATCTGTAAGGTGCTACCCCGCTGATAGATTTACCTGATTTAGGTTGGCTCATGGGTTGAGATATGGAAGCAGTTACTGGAGAAAAGTCGAGCCAGGCAGTGATTGCAGCACCCTATTTCCCCAGGAAACAAAGCTGAAAGTAAAAGATAGCTGCCATAGAAAATATTAAGCCATTTAGGGTTGATCTCAGAGCTGTTTCTAGGCTTCTAGCTCAAGAGAAGAAATCTGTAAAGTGATGCTGCCTCTCTCAAGGTTGCTCTCATATGACTAAGGCACAGTAATAGGGTTTGTCTGGTATCTGGGGAGATGGTATCATACTTGTCCCTACCATGGGAAGAATTAAACAGCCATTTTTATACTCTTATAGACTCTTATGTCACCCCAGACAGGCAAACCACAATATCTGCCTTGGCAGAGAACACACACCTCATCCCCCTGACCTCCAGTTGTCACTCCAACCCACCCTGGACAAAGAAAGGGAAATTATTTGGGGTTTGTGTAACAAAATATTAATTTATTTATCAATATAATTTTTTTTTCCCCTGCTCCCCATTTTTCCTGTACTCCCTCCTGTTCCTCTCTCACATAGGCACAAACACCATGGAGCTTAATAACTGATAGGTGTGGGTTAAAATCAACCCTGGCCCTGCTGTGGCTGCACAGAGGTTGCCAAGGTTTCCACCACCTGAGAACAGATGCTGCAGAGTCATGATGGTGTGGTGGTGTACAGAGCACCATCATAGCCCAGAATAGCAGCAGTCCATCCAGCTGAGGCCTCGGACTCATGAGTGGGGCTGATTTAGCTGAGGGGGACTGTAGGGGTTCCTCCCCTGGGCACCCTGCCCTCACTGACAGCTCAACTACACTTGCAGCAGCTGCTGGACTGCTGCGGTTTACAGCTCTGGACATCAAAGCAACCAGTGCTGACTTCTGGTTTCCTGAATGCCTCTGAGTTCGCAGTGGTGGCCGGGCATCAGCTGCTTCGTGAGCACTCAGCTCTCTTGGGAGCGGGAGCTGCAGAAGAAGCCTCTTCGGCCTGGGATGGAGCTACTCCAGTTATCCACGTGACACTATCCTAATGGTGAGTCAGAGCCCTGCCAGGTGCAGGGTTACTGCCAGCTGGGGTAGTTTGTTCTTACAATGTTTCATGCAGCTTGATCCAGATGAAACACTAGGCGGGACATGGGCAAGACCCTGGCTTCCCAAACTGGACTGACTGTCAGAGCTGCTTGTGGAGAGGAAAAACAGGACCAACCTCCCATTCTAGTGCAATTTTCTCCTTCCAGACATCCTTTAGGATGTTCACCATATCCTTCTTAGTCAGCTTTTTGTTCTTCACTTCACCTTCATGCCTCAGGTACACAGGAACGTTGTCACCTTTGCCCTAAGTAATGGAAAAGAAACAGAGAGAGGTAAGGCATTCGCCTTGCTGGCTGAAATGCAGCAGCAAAGCCACGTTCTCAGCGTCTGAAGCCATCAAAAGGAATCATTTGTGTGGGTCTCATTCCCAGTACTATAAACCACATCTGTCAGCACCTCTGCAGTGTGTCTCAGGTGCTCCAGGGTGGACAAAGTGGGACCATGTGAGAGGTTCTGCCCAGCAAAAAAAGAAGGGGAAAGATCTTCCTTGGAAATATCTCCTAGGAAGGGCAGGACAAGCAGTTGAAGCGTCTGGAAAGGCTGAGGAAGAGATGTTCAAGGACTAAAGAAATGCTACTCTGTCTCTGAGAAAATCTTTGGATACAGTTATGATTCATATGATGTCAAGAATCTGTGTAAAATTTCTCTGTCCCTGTGTCATTTCCTGATTCCCCCACGTGCCGGGGTGCAGTGCAGTGGGACAGTGTGAGTTGAATTAACTTCCTGATGCCACAGAATGAGCATGTCTATGGGAATGACTATGTAGTCTTGCTACTGACTCTTAGTCATTCTAGTGCTTTGTCTGAATTCGTCTCATCAGCAGAGAACGAATCTGGTTAAAAATTATTATTTCTCTGCTGGACAAGTTCCTGTCACCGCAGCCAGTACCAGGGGTAGGGACAGGGGGGAAAGACCAAGGTTTTTCAGCAGCAGGAAGCCATACAGTGCAGCATCAGTAAGGGGCTCTAGCCCACGAGTACTACCTCCATGTCTGACGATTCAGTGTAGAGTGGCTACTTCAGCTGCATCTTCAATATGCTCACACTCAGTTTCAGGTTTTCTATTGTTGAGTTTTCCTAGTTTTAAAGTTTTAGGTAGTTACACCAGTGGGAAAGTGAATGTTGAACACACCAGCCATGAAAACATTTTTCCCACCCTTCTAATGGTTATTATGGCAATTAATTTCAGTGGAAACAAGCAGAGAAGAAAGCTTACACATACCTGTCCAGGGAAGGCATTTATCTGTTTGAGCAATCCTGTTCCTATCTCTTCCAGAAGCACATCCACCAGCTCATCGCTGGTTTTCCCCTCAGCCAGACAGCCCCACTGCTCAGCTCCACCAGGAATCACCTCTGCAACAGCAAAAACACGCTGAGCTGTGGAGAATGTGCCCACACATTCTGGTTTTGTATGAATACCAGTAGGAGCCTTATTATAGATACAGATCTCTAGACATCTAGTCTGTCTCCTAAGATGTCTAAGGCAGAATGGAATACCCTGCAAGCTCCTCTCTCTCAGGCCACTCCCAAAAGCCTAGGAGAAAATGGGGCATTGCAGATAAGAAATGCACCATAGTAAAGTGTTTAAAAAATGAGCTGCCTTAAGCAAACCACTGCTGAATACATTTGGCACCTGAACACTTGGCCCAGTTTGGCCGGTATGTGCAGTTGTGCTGAACTCGCTGGAGCTCAGCACAGAAGTTGTCTCGCTCTTCTGCAGTCTTTCAGTGGATGTCCAGCAGAATTTCATATTCCTTATGGAGCTGATCAAAATCCTTCTGCAGAGTCTTCATCTAAAGGATACAGAAAGGAGCAGTGTAACAAACTAACCAGAGTAATGGAAATTTTCTGTTGTCAAACAGCTCAGGTGAGCAGTCAGTGCAGTCCATGAACTTAAGGAGAGCTGTCCCAGGATAATTGATTCTAGATCGGAAGAAAAATTTATAATTTATTAAATTTTATTTTTACCATTTACAAAAACTTCCGACAAAACATGTCAATGATCCTTTTATACCTGTTTTTGTGTTTTAAAATAGATCTTAATCCACTGGGAAAGAGCAAGAGAAACAGGCTTCTGTTCTAGAAATTTTTACATGTGTCCCCTTCAGAACCACTATACTTTATTTAGAAAGTGTTTCTTTTTTGTGTGATTTATCTATGCTCTACTACTACAGAGGTGCATTCCTAGGTAACCACAGCTCTAGTCTGGGTTTTGAGGGCTGTGTCTGTGTTTATTGTGTCCAGTTTTGGGCACCTCAATACGAGAGAGATGTCGAGGGGCTGGAGCGAGGGCAGAGGAGGGCAGCGAGGCTGGGGAAGGGCCTGGAGAGTAAATCCTGTGAGGAGCCATTGAAGGAGCTGGGAGTGTTCAGTGTGAGGAGGAGAAGGCTGAGGGGAGACCTCGTCACTCTCTGCAGCTCCCTGAAAGGACACAGTGGAGAGGTTGGTGCTGGTCTCTTCTCACCGGTGATTAGTGACAGAACAAGGGGGAACAGCTTGAAACAACAGGGGAGGGTCAGACTGGACATGAGGAAAAAATTGTTCCCAGAAAGAGTGGTCAGAGAATGGAACAGGCTGCCCAGGGAGGGGGTGGAGTCCCCATCCCTGGGTGTGTTTAAGGGTCGTTTGGATGAGCTGTGGGGGATGTGGGGTAGGGGAGAACTTTGTAGAGTCAGGCTGAATGATTCTGGGACTCTGTGATTCTGCCATGACACAGGGACATGAACAGTGGATGAAGCCGTGCTGATGGTCAGAGCTGGAACAAAGCTGCCAATGGCCCAAATGTATCTTGAACAGCCCAGCACTGCTTTTCTGAAGCACAAAGACAGGTAGCACTTTTTTGCCTCAATGGAGCTTTTCATCCATCCCTCCTGACAGCTGTACATTAACTGTATGGTGGGAACCAACGTGTTTTCATCCTCCTAGAGATCAGGTCACTGCCACTCTGGCACTGTGGGGTTGGAAGCAGACCCCATCCTAACCACTGGTGTGTGTCGTCCCTCAGATATCCCGCATGTGAAATGGCATTGCTCCTGTGCATCTCCAGTGCAAGATAAGCTGTCAAACATTTATTCTAAAAAGGCATCAAACAGATATAACACGAAGAACCTAGTCCAGTTCTTTCACAGCTGGAAAATGCATTGACCAGCTCCGTAGTTGGGAACCTTGGAGATCCAGTGGGCTAAAGAAGCCATTTATAATACTGGAAAAGGCAAAAACCCAGCTAGACAGAGAAGCCAGCAGTAGGTTGTTAGCTGTTTTGGGCAAGCTCTGCAACGTATGTGAGGTGAACCCAGTTAATTTACTTCTATATATGATGACTTCAGACAGTAGTTCCTAAGCTGTAATCTGTGGGCTCTTGGTGGTCTGTGGGCCATTGTTGCTTTAATGGTATTAACTCAGTTAAACCTGATGTTAAGGGTTTGTGATGGTATCCCAATTTTGAGTTCTCAGGCAGACTGTGATTCCAGTAGACATGGAGATTTGGGGATTAGAAGACAGTGGCTTTTCATGTATTTTATGTACAAAGAACAAAGAATTGCCCTTCTGTGAGCTCTAGGTTTACTGTCCCTATCCCAGCCTGAATACTGAAGCACCATGTTACATCTGTATTTATGTGGGAAGCTTGAAAATTAGGAGTTTATGCTCACCTCCTGAAGTAAATCAGAGTTGTTTTTTTTTTTTCCAGTGATTCAAAATGTTTCCTGGGCACAACATCCCTGTAGTCTGCTATTATTGTGTTCATCTTCAGCTGGGCTTTTGTGAGGTCCTGTCGAGCTATCTTTAATGCCAAAGTTAACTTCACCACATCCTCACCCTTGACATCTTTAAACAACAGCCATTGATGAAAGCCCATGACAGTAAAATTGCAGTCATTTTCTAAATCATCTATTAAACTTTTCAACCACGTAGCCCTACAAAGTGTCAGCAAGAGCTGAACAGGCGTAGATGTCTTATTATTAAAGAACTGCAAGTCCAGGAGTATACTGCAGTGTTCACAGTCCCACCCACAGTCCTGCCTCCTCTCCCATACACGCTTACGTATTCAAAGGCTCAAGCTTGGTTTTGATTAACAGAAGGGCTCACAGACAGGGAGACCCTTATGTGGATGCAGTAGCTACAGCCAGTGAGTAAGAAGCAGCAGCAGCACTGTGGGTGCCTGTAACCCGACTGTGGATCAACAGAGATGATGTACTGAAAGGGTCCCACCACGAGTAACCTCTGTGCTGGGTATTTGTGACACTTGAATTGTGAACAGGCACAAAGCTGCCATCTGTGGCTGGGTAAGATGTGCTAACAATTTGCACTGGAGTCAAAAAAACATGAGGAATTTTTGCACTGGGCAGCTCCTGCCTTCAATTTACCTGTTGTGTTAAGGAAGTGTACAGGAACACCAGCAATGATTAGTGAATCAGATCAGAGTAGTAGGTACCTCCCTGCCTATTCTCTCTCCTACTTGTTTATGGGCTTTTTGTCCATGAGTTTGTCTAACTTCTTTCAAGAATCAAAGCATATCTGAAGATATTTCAGAGATACTCTGAATTTTTCATGCAATGTTGCACCCATGTGTGTGCATTTGGGTCTCTGCACAGGGCAGGTTCTTACAGAGATCCACTCTCCCTACCTTGGACTTGGGGACATGTCTTGTCCCGCTGTTCATTATGTAGATTGCTCAGTTTTGCCAGAAGCAGTTTGCGGGCACTGTGTTCGTTGACGTAGCAAGTGTACTCCTCAGCCACACTTGTCTGCAGATGCTCCACCTGCAGGAAACAGAGGCTTGAACAGATCTGGACCCACAGCATCAGTGGGAGCTCTTGGGCTGGTTTGGTGGGTCTAGAGCAGAAACTAAGGAGCAGAGAGTGGGATATTATTTATAATTATTTTAACTATTTATAAGCATTTTGGTCTAGCTAGTGAGACCAAAGCCTCTAAGGTTCACCAGGTGAACCTACGACATTAGTACCAGGGAGATATTTATTTCCTTCCCCCCTTCAAATGTGACAATGGAAAAGCCAGATGGGACAACAGATACAAGTGAAAACTTCTGACAGTGGCGTCACAGCCTGTCCCAAGAGAACAGGATATTCTCTGGAGCTGGCCAAGATCCAGCATCATTACCATGCCAGATGTTTAGTGCCTGCTCCAGAACTTCTACTGGCACCAAAGGATAAGAGGCTGGGAGGTAAGAGATCAGATGTGTAAAATGCATCCAACTGCAGTTGGGAAACATTCAACTTGTCATTGTCTAATTTACCTGAGTCTGAAGAGAATTATTTTCTTCCTTCATGTTGTCAATGATCTTTAATAAATGTTGTTTCTCTTGCTTCAACATATTTATTTCATCTTTCTCCTTTTCCTGCATTGCCAGTATCTGCTGGGAGCACTCCTCGGACACAGTTGTGACCATAGCCTTCAGGGGCTCTAGGGCATGAATTGTCTTCTTCTGATGAGCTAAAGAAAGCAGAGGTGGGGGTCTCACAATGAGCAACAAAGCCTGAATTTCACTCAGCTGGGCTGTTGGATATTCAACACCAAACAGTGCTGGTGGGAAGTGGGACTGAACACGGAGCTTTTACTGCTTGGCCTGGTGAGCGCCTAAGGACTAGGAGGAGCCCTTAATCTTTTGGGATTACATCCCATTGTTTATCCAGCTGTGCATATGAACATAAGGATTTCTGATTTCAGCTCATGCTATTTATCCTTGTTTAGAAAACAAAGGATGAACAGTATTTGATTTTGTTTTCTTGAGTACTTCAGGTTTTGATAAGATATAATGAGCACTGATGGCTTTGCCGTGTTTCACTAGATGGGAAGGTGTCACCATTTAAGCACAGGCAGCATATGGGGCTGAAGACAGCTGGTGAGACGGGGAGTCTAAACAATCTTAGATTGATGGTGCAAGGCCTGCGCAAAAAAAAAAAAAGGGGGAGGCGTATGGGACTGTTCGAAAAAGACATACCAAGTACTGATAACGTTGCTAGGCGATTATCTCCTAGCCCAAAGAGAAGTCCCCCCTAGTCTTTGAAGAACAGACAACCCCAAAACATTGGCCTGGAAGAAAGCCAGAGAACAACTGAGGCTGCGCAGAGCGACAGGGTGAAAAGTTCACCAGCGAGGAAGAAGAGGTACTTCATCTTTACGACCCCTCCCCAGGAGATTGCGACCCCAGCCCGGAGCTTGGAGAGCTCATCGCGCAGGCACAAGAGGAGGGGACCTGATTACCATGAGAAGCGAGGGGAGGCGGGGGTAGACTATGTATATGTATGGGCGTTCTATGAATATGCACTACTTTGTAACATATAAGCCGGACGGGAGCTGCAAACGACGCGCATGCTTGTGGTGGAGCGATCCCCCATGCGCCCAGCGCTGAATAAACACACCCACTTTATAACTCCAAAAGTTATAGAGTGATTTCTCCGCAAAACAGCTGGCAATTTGCAAAATATCCTTTTTTGTGAAGGCCCATTCTACGTGAACTTCAGTCTGCTTTTTTGTCCCCAAATGCATGGTCTCATGCAACCTTTTGTATACGAATTTGTTGTCTACCCACTCTCCACTCTTTTAAAGTATGCCTTGACCTCTCTTCTTTTGCCTTTTTCTTCAATACATTTAGTAAAGAACTCACGTGCTCTTCTTGCCTTTCTCTGCTGTAATGTGTGCTTTTCACTCTCAGCTTTTTCCCCTTTGACTTGAAAATTTTTCTTGAAGATATTTACATGAGGAAGCTAGCGACAGTACTTGGGTCCCACATCCTACTTACAGTTAAATGGTAGAATTTGGTCTGATGTCACCTCCTTGGCACAGAGGCTTGTTTTTACAACTAGATGGAATTCCACTGAGAGAATAAAATGATCAAAGACAGGATATGGTGTGATTCAAATGAGGCTGTGAGCAAGCCTCATTTTGTTTGTGAATAACTGCATTATTCAGCAGTCAAAGCTGTTCACTCCCTCTCCTGAACAGAAGGACAGAAATCCTGGTGGATTCTGAATAATATGATTTGGAGGTTTTTTTCCTCCTCAGTAAAGCCTGGTGTTAGTACTTATGTACAAATACTATACAACAGATTTTGCATTTTGAAAGTTAAAAAGCACACATAAATCTAAGAACAGGAACTACTAATTATACTTAGGTGTGAATTTCCTTCCCATGCTATAACTGTACCAAAGGTTTTACAGAACTGTTTTGCTATGATAGTTGTGTCAGAGCAAGTGATGGCAAAAATTAGAGCATTAGTGCAGGAATTCTGCCACTAGACTCTTTGGTTTCTCAGTGTGACCATGCTGAAACTTCAGCAAACTTGTTTTGAAGTGTAGTTTGAGTGTTTCACAACTGACTCATGACCACAAGCAAACCCCTTTAAGTGCAACAGTATTTTTAATTGTAGCTGCCTAGTATGTCAGAAGTTAGAGCACAATTTGGCTGCCAAAGTGATTATTTTGTAGTGTGGACACTGGCCAGCGCCATCTGAGAACATTAGCTCCCTGATGACCTCTCATAACTCTCCCCATGCCAAGAAAGGACAGACATTCTCCCACTTGGAAAGCATTCAGGCTGTGGTGCAGCTCATTGCACATACAGAATTGCTGGATGGTCCCAGAAGTCTCAGCACCACAAAGGGGTCAGTGTGAAGGCCCTGTAGACGTAGAAACCTGAAAAAATCAACTTCTCTTGATTTTAATCAAGAAATGGATTCAGCTGTGGATAATGTCAGTCTGAAGCAAAGACCTGCCCTGTCACTGAGCTTTGCCTTAGAGGAGCTCCCAACAACATAACTTTAATCTTGGGTCAGGCTAAGAGCTGTAAGGACTTGGTGTCACTCTCCTCTGTGATGATATTTCCCAAATTCTGCTTAGTACCTTCACATTCATGTGGATTTACTCCAGAAACGATGCCATAGAGCCTCAGCACAACCTTAACACCCAAAGGAGCTACAGTGGTATGTCCAAGTCTGGCATAGGATGAATAGTTGCAAGCAGCCAGTACAGGCTGCACATCCCTGTAGCCATCAGAGGCAGCTGCCTTCTGTGGTTGGCGTGCTCAGGTACGTGTGTGCTAGCTGCTTCCAACACCCTGCTGCCAAAGTGATGCAGCTAAATATACAGTGTAAGCAGTACAGTTTTAGGACAACATTTAATCATACAATTTTTTCTTTTTTTTTTTTTTAAACCAGATTATTCTGACTGAACAGGGAGTATGTTGTAATACTTGCAGATTTAAGGGGAGAACCCACCCTGGCAGTGGGTGCAGTGGTGAGCACCTTAAAAGTCACATAGTCTAAGCTAGTACAGGCTATATGACTAGGGCAGAAAAAACAGAGTAAGACGAAGCTGCTAAATCAGACTACAAAAATAAAATGCTGTAGTTTAAAGGTTTAGTTTCAGTTTCAAAGGGATCTGAAATGCTACAGATGGAGTATGCATGTTAGGTGGAGTGATGGGACATCTCTCCAAGCAAACTGTCCCATTTATCAGCTCCAAAACTGCACCTTAAAGACTCCAAGCACTGTAGTGAGGGACTATAAACAGGAAAAAAATCTCACAGATTTTGAAGAAGTTGTTTTTGTTAAGCACAGTCAGACATAATTTAAGAATAAATACTTAGAAGTGCAGTTCTACAAATGAGTAAATTTCCTTCCTTTTCTCTCTCTTTTGTACTCTTCCTGCTCTCAGGCATTTGCTTTTCTCTCTGCCCTAGCACAGGCACTTTCTTGAGCAATTTAACTCACTAAACCAACAAGAAACTTTGCAGCTCTTGATCTTTATCTTTCCTGCTGGGTGAGTTGACTCAGCTTGTGGAGGTGCCCAGTGAGTGGCAGAGCTGGTGTGTTCTAAGCAGTGGGAGTGCACCATCAGGACTGGGGATGTGGGACCTTCTTTCCATGGCCATGAGTGGTTGGCTTAGATCATCACTGCTCCCTTGGCTGGGTGGATAAACTGCTGTCTGTGCTAGGTAGGGAGAAAGAGGCCTGAAAATCACTTCCTGATAACCCCATCCAATACCCTTAGCTAAAAGGGGATGGATGTCATGCAGGTCTCATTAGCAAGGTAAAATCTATAATTAGAAAAATGAGTCCTCAATATACAGAAAGGTGGGAGACCCCCAATCTAAAAAAAAAAAAAAAAAAAAAAAAAAAAAATTAATTCAATTTCTTTTATTCTTAGAGCTTCAAGTGCATTTGCTACCATGGCACATTAGTTCCCTGTCATTCAGCTGATTTCCAGAAATAAAGCTATCACGAAAGATATGTTTTGCTCTGAAGTCACCAGAAACTTCAAAGAAAAAAGGGGAAATATCACATTCAAGCAATATGGAGGAGTCAGTAAATGAATACTTTAAAAAAAAATAAAAGCTTCAGAGAGCAGTACAATATCAGCTACAGCATGGACACCAGTAATCTCCCTAGAAGCTGAAGCAAAGAAATGTCTACTAAAGAGTTCTGGAAGGAAACCAATGTAATAATAATAATAAAAAAAAATATAGTGAATAAACTTTACCTATTCACCTGGTTGAAAGATACTGTGCAAAGAAAGATTTTTGTCTATAATGAAGGACTATGATTAGGTAGCCCAGGTAACAGGTACTGAGATAAACAATATATATCCTTTAAGAGACTGTCCCAGTGGATAACTGTTGACATGTGATAGCTGCTCAGTGCCCAGTGTGAAATGAGCTCCTGGTTACAGTCTATTTCTAGCCTTCTGTGATTGTTTACAAAGTACTGGTATCACTGTGGCATCTGAATGCCAAGCAAAGTTTAAAGCACACTAAGAATGGCCAGGGAACAGCCAGTTCAGGTCTCTGCCCTGCCTTACTTCAGGAGTCATTCAAGCTTCAAGTTACCAGTGCGAGTGCATCCACTATAAATGTGATTGTCCCAGAAAAAACTTGCAACACTGCTGTCGCCTGAACTGTGTATCTGATAAACATTTTTAAAACTTACAGGTCTTAATGTTATAGGAAAAAACCCCCCTGCCAACTTCACCTTATGTATGAAGGAAATAGACCCAACGGACCAGAAGGATGGTTTTACTAGTTGACACCTATTTAGGCTGTTCATCCTATATATGTATCCAACACACCTAAGCCCTGTAAGAACATGTCTCTATTAGCATTTTTCTCCCCACAGGTCAAACGTCAACATCTTACCCTAGGTAACTTCATATTCATTCTTTATAGCTGTCAGCAAGGGTTTGTAGGTCTTGAAGTCCTCTATGAAGGATTCAAAGATCTCTCTGTAGGGCTGAGAGAAGAGAGTGAGTTTGAGAAAACATTCAGTGGCACATTTTGCAGAATTCAGAGGTAGCTGTCTTGTCCAACACAAATGCCATCTAATGACAGTGAGAATAATTATGAAAATACTGCCACCACATTTTATTTTGTCTTTCCACCTCTGGCTTGCCATCCCATATACATCAGATGAAGGTGGAGTTCTCCCCCCTGTTGACAGGCACCACAGCATGACAGAGAGCAAACAAAGCTATTAGCAGCCAAAGAGAAGCTTTGATCAAGTCTGCCAGGGTAAACCTCCAAAATATTATACTGTTCAGATGGTGTTTTGGAGAGCCTTCTCCCTTGTCTTCATCCTTTCCATTGGAGGACAGGGAAAGGATTCTCCAAATTTAGCCTGGAATTTAATTTGAGGTTTCATGCAGATCTGGGATACTACCAATTTGTATAGTATTACCAAAATCTGTTTACGAAGAATTTCAATTTGGCCTTATTAATCTGACTGATAATATTTCGTGTACACCAAATTGCTCCTGGAACAACACCTTCAGGGGACCTTTCACAGCTCTAAAAACTCCTTTTACTGTTTCAGAAATTTTTCATCTTCCCCAGGGAGGAAACCTTCAATCTGGTGATTTATGGAAAAGTGAGTATTGGGAATGGAAAAATGGGTGGAACCGAGTAGTGCTTGTAATTTTATTGGGGAATAATTGTCTGAAAATGGATCTTTAAAATATAACACTATATTACAACTAACTTTTTTTGTAAACGTGAAGGAAAATGGGATGAAGTACTGTATGTAGATGCTTTTGTGACTTTAAAGTAAAAATGAACTTGTTCATGAAATGGAATGTATGTATTAGCAGAAAGCATTAACTGTTGCAAAAGCTGTGAAACTGGAAAAGAAATATGTTGAGAATGGCTAGGACATGACTTATAAACATTGGATTTACAATTTTGTCAGTATTTTTTGCAATTATGATAGGTATTGTTATAGCAAAGTGTATGATCTCTCATATTGTTTCCTCTCTTTCTCCCTCTGTTCGGTATGTCTGGATTACCACACTCGCTGACGACTGCCCCAATATTTCACTAAATGTCTGAGTCACAGGGTGGTGTAAGGAACCGAATGAAGGAAGGAATGCCTCAAACATTCATCCACACAGAAAAACTCAAGGACAAACTGTGGCCTTTGTGATTAATCTAAGGAATGTCACTCAAGGAAGCACAGAATGTATCAAAGGATGCACCCCCCACTCCCTTGCAGTTGTATTGACAGATTCCTTAGATAAGCCTCAAAGAGGGGGAAAGTGGACTGAGTGTAACCAGAAGTTTCCCCTCAAGCACAAGTACCACTAATCACTGGCTCCAGTGTATAAGCCTGATACTTGTGGCTCTACTGTGTAAGCAGACACCATGTATGCCTTGCTGATGACTTCACGCCTTTGCCATTGAAGAGGTGACAAGAACTGAGGTGAGCATTTCTGCCCCAGGAGCCTGATGACTGTTAATGCTAATCAGTTGATAAGATGAATTTAAAAGACAACAGAAACTTTGCTGGTGGTGCACCCACCACCCAAGATTACTGGACCTGAGACAACCCTGGATCCAGGGGTGTGGATCCAGGTTGCTTTGACACTTTCCCTTTCCTATAGATTTATAAGAAGCCACATTGCTGCTTATCCTTTTCCAAGTTTAAATGGTTTTCTACCACAAGTAAAACAGTTTAACCAGTTGTCTGGTGTAGTTTCACCTTAATTTAACCCAAGCGGATCACAGAACCATCGCGACTGTCTGGGCTTCCAGTCTGGGTTGTGACAGATGGAGCTGACTAGAATTCAAAGATGTAACAATATGGATACTAAAGATATGTAACAAGATGATAACCTGCTTTTGTTGCCTATTTTGTTAGGCACTCTCTGCAGAGCAGAGTCTTTCAGCAGAATAAAACTTGTTCAGAGAGGATAGTCAAACTCACAGGGTGTATGTGGGCCATGGGAAGACTTTACTAGCAATAAGGAATGTTCTCACTGAGTGTACCTCACTATTAAATAAAACATGTCATGTAAGACAGTAAAAAATATTTCCCAAGCATAAACACAGTTATGAAACCTCTATTTTCTCTTGCCTTTAGTCACTTTTTGTTTCCCTCTGTTCTATCTAGCACTTTCCTTCCCCATCACAACAGGCTTCCTTTGGGAATGAGAATTTGAATTAATTAGTGCAGAGAAAATAAAATCCAAACTTTCTGTGGTCTGCATAAATGCTCTAATTGCAGGATATCATAAAAACATGAGTACCCATTCCTCCTCTATCTCTGCTTTAAAGTAAAGTTTGTTCTCAAGATCTCCATGAGGTGTGTCCTCAGACACCCACAACAAGCCCCCCAGGAGCAGACCCATTAGAAACGAAGAATTTTGGGGATCCTGATTAGGCTCAGGCAAGGGCTAGATTTGAAAGCTACTTTGTGTTACATGGAGAAACCTAACTTCAGAAATGAGAGGTTTTGCAGTGAAAATCTGGAAATCTACATGCTTGCTGTTTTATGGGTTTAGGCAGAAATCTTCAGTTTAGTGTGTAAATTCTGTTTCACATCCACTTTAAATTATCATGTCTTTTTGAAGACTTGGGCTTTGATTTGAAAATGGAAACTTATAGAAGATGTGGAATACATAAGAAGATGTGAACCCAACAACATGCAAACAATAGAAACCCAACATACAAATAAACTGCTTTCTGTGCAAGTTCTCTAATGTGAGCTGCAAACCCACTTATCCAATACTACCCATAGGTGCCTACTCTACTCATCTATTGCTCCCTTTGGGTGGCAAATTTAAATAATCCATCTCAGCACCTAGTTTCAAGTCAAGAGAACCTTCTATCAGACCTGTAACTTCAGTTCCTGGGAGCTCTTTTCAGTCAGATCAAGAGACTGCAGCTCTTTCCTTAAGTAGGACTCCAGTTGCTTCAAGTATCGTGGCTTTGGAATGGTGAGAAGGGCCTGTTTATTGCTGCAGAGACACAGGAAAAGAACAGACACATAGACTTATGTGTGTTGTAATAAATCAGCTCAAGGATCTTGGTGTTCTTTATACTGCCCACTGCATCACAGCAGGACTTTTTCTTTACCATTGTACATACATATTCTCTCAAACCCTACAATGGATGATTTCAAATTCCTTGATGGAGCAGGAATCTATTCAAGACATTCTGCTATTATTACTTTTCAGTTTAAGAACTTCATAACGCTTTTTGGTATAAAAAGCCAGGTGAGTGGGTTCTAAATATGTTATTTGAAATGGGTCAAGGAAAACAGCCATTTGAAAAAAAGAACTCATAACATGGTTCATTTCCTGAGGTTCTAGGTTCCTCAGGAGGTCCTAGGCCCAATGTCCCTTTGCTGGATGTTATCATCTCTATTTCATATTAAAACCAGCTAGAATTAAAAAGCCCAACTACCCTTATTATATCATTCACAAACGTGTTGTGCAGTCTGTCAGAGCCCTAAGTGCACCAACAGGCTCTGCAACCTCTTCCCCTACCCCCAGAGGTTTGGGTGCCTGTGTTCAAGGGCAGCTGGGACCCCACAGGGTGACAGCAAGGAAATGGGGGACAGTGACCTGCCCAGCAGGACACAGTGCCACGGGACCTGAACAAGAATAGCAGAGCAGGTCTCTTGATGGTAGCCAGGGTCACCCATAGTTTAGTGATGGTCAGGCAAGTCCACAATGTGAAGAGGAAGGTCCAATATCAAGCCGGGATGTCAAGTCAGCAGGCTGGGGTCAGTGAGATGCAAGGCAGATGTGGTTATAGCATAGCTCCAGCAGGAACCAAAGGTGAGTGAGCCTCAGTGAAGGCTTCTCACATCTCTGTTTCACACAGCTCTTTGCACAGCACCTGATCACAGGTTACCCAGCTGTGCCATGTCAAAACCAGCCTTGAGCCCAGACACCCAAACTCCTAGGACTGGAGAAGAGCTTGCAGAGCCTGTTGGTGCACTTGGGGCCCTGACAGGATCATATACAATGTCAGTCAATGAATCATTAAATGATAGCATTTGGTGGTAACTTTTATACCGAGTATGACTCACGTAAATACTTGACATCTCCTACAGAGCTACTACTCAGAACTAACAATGCCTTCTCTGTCATGCTGAACTCCTGGGGGGTAACCCAACATCATTGGTCTCACTAACACTGGAAGAGGTTCTGCTCTGTAAGGTCTTAGTTTTCAAAAAACGCTTCCAGCAGTCCTGGTGACTTAACCAGTAGTACAGGCTGAGCTTACCTAGACTGCCTCTCCTCTGGGGTACAGCAGGGTTTGTGGCTCCTGAGGACTGTCTGTCCAGATGCATATGCAGGCCATGTGGACCAATGGCCTCTAGCAGAAAGCTGAAGAAATTGAAAGGAGAGAATCCCTTGGCTGTATCTGAACACTACAAACTCACAACAAAGGGCCAAAATCCAGAATCAGTACACACAACTGCCTATGAAAAACAAGGGCTGTACACTGAAACTCTTCTCAGCCAGGACTGACCACACCTAAAAACCAAGTAAACTTTTTGTGTTCTTTGAAGAAATCATCTTCCCAGACTAGCACCATTTGTTAAACAACTCTAACAATCTCCTGGTAGCCATTATTCATGCTGCTGAGATTACATGATTGTAGGAAAGTGTTCATATCTTTGGGTGAAAAAATGATTTCTTGGTCTACACTGGGACCACTGGAAAATAAAGCATCACACAAAGAGTCAGAATTTTGCATTAACCCAAAATAAGTGGTTTCAATTAGGTCTTGTTTCCTCTAGGGAGATTCGCACTGGGGTGTGTCCCCCACAGTAAGGACACACCGAGCTAGGTTAATTTGTAATGATTACGAGCTTTAAATGCAGGTTGGTGATCCTCAGCTGAGTTTGCATCAGTGTAGAATGTAGCGAAGATAAGGTCTGAGGAACAGTAAAAAGAACGTGATGAATTAATTTTTCTTCAGAAGCTCTTATGAGAGCAAAATCTAGATAATTTTAAAAGTCTCTTCTACCTTGGAACTTTCTCAGTGTTTCTCTGGGTGGAAAAAAGGAGCTATGCTGGATTGCTCTACTTTATCTTCATTATTACAACCAAATAATTGGTATGCGATTGTCCAATACAAATCCCTCCCTAATCTGTCTATAAAATTTACAAAAAATTAATCATAGGCAAACAGGAAGGTTTGACTTTCAAAACCCAAATGTCAGACTGACTAAGCCTTGAAACAGTTAAATCTAAAGCCTTAGGAGTTTAAGTGTCCTAATTTCAGTGCAAGAAGCAGGAAGATTACATTGGAGAAACACTAAGATTCCAATTTACTGAGAGCTGAAAATCTTTTCTACAATGAGGAAAGTGCTTACAGAATGTCCAAGCCCTAGGGACAAAATAATACTTTAAGTTCTTGTGCTAATGTAGCACATACAGCTTGTCATAGAAGCGCACATTCTGAAATACAACCAAAATGTTAATGAAAAAGGAAACGCAAAAATATATAACGTATGACTTTTATAGGTCTTAACCTCCCATTAGTTTGTTGTTTGTTTGTTCCTGGAATTTATTTTCTCATAATTTGGATATCGATTTTCCTCATGCTAGTTTATTTTATTTTACTATGACTGATAAATACTAGGGAGCAGATGTTCCTGAAGGATGCTCTTAGCCTATGATTAAACAGCACATGGTGGTTTGTTTTTTTTTCTTTAAACTACATGGGTCAAATTCTGGCTTCAGTATTTGGCATATATGTCCACTCATAAAGTTGCAGCCAAGAACAACATTTATATTCCTCTTTCCTCCACCCTTAAAAATGCAGTAATTAATTCACAAAGATGACATCTGAAGCTGAAGTTCAAGAGTTAGCAGCAACGTATAGATTTTATATATATATATATATTTAAGAAAGATTAAAATTATTAGAACTTGTTTGACTTCCTAATAGTCCCTGGGCTGCCACCAAGATTCAAAGTTGACCAAGTTAGCTAAAGTTTGGATGTTTCACTGGAATTCTTCAACTCACCGGAGTCTTCTGTTTCTTGAACAGGATGTATTTCAGATGATACGTGTTTGGCAATCTGGAGTCTCAGAGGACGATTCAGGAGCAGTCCTGTGCAATGGCAAGAAAGAAACTTTTCAAAACACAGAATTAACTAAATATACAGTGGAGATTGAGAGTCTGTCTCATGTGTACTTAAGGTAAGCAGCCAGTTCTGAAGTACCTGATGGATGAAAATATCCAATAGGATAATGTAGAGGGAGGGACTGATGGAAAGATTTGTGGTGCAGCTGAACTCCAGGGTTTGCCATTTGGTAATTGGCGTAACATTTGGTACCTTCCTCACTATCCCAAAGAGAACAACCAAGCTGAACAACCGGCAGCTGGGGGAGCCTGAACAAATTGGTCTTCTGATGAGGAGAGATTAGAGACAGAGCTAGAAAACCTGTTACTCGGGGGTCAAGAACCAGGATTTGGGCTCCCAAAAGTGCCTGCAAAGCCAGTAGTGCCATGGAACAGATTGTCTGACAGCTAGTAGAACCGGAAAACCATGGAACAAATATAATCTGGAACTCTCCTTCCTAGACTAGAACCTGCATGTATAGGTGAAAGGACTTTTATGAAGCAAATGTACAGTTGCATGTGTATTTTAGGGAATATCCAGGTGGACATGATCTGGTAAAGCAATGCAGAAATCACAGTGAATTTGCAGGCACTGGCACAACATGACCACACACTCAGCTTGGTATCTGAGCACTGGCTTCAACTGCCAGCTTAGTTTTATGCTCAGGTGGCAGGAAACTGTTATATCTTAGGCAGATCTACCTCTCCAACCATCCACTTTCCAGGGGAGGTGTGTATAGAGTGAGCTGGACTAACTTTCAGGAGTCCACCAAGGGCCAGAACAGTGTTGGGGTGAGAGATTGTATCGGGTGGGCTGTTGGATCTCCCACCCTACTGTATAAAATGGCAGCCTCAAGCTGCAGCTCTATGAAATGTGGTAACAGCTCAGCACTGCTGAAAGGGGAGGTGGTGTTTCTGCCCCAGCACAACAGGCTCCTGATGTCTAGGTAACGTCAGCTGTAACACATGCTGGGCAACATTCTGAGCTGGTTTAGTTTGTTAACCCAAGGGAAAACCTGCAGTTACCCAGTTCAGACCAACTAAAGACATAACATGCAAGTTCACCCCTCATTGGGGGAGCGATTCTGCAGCTGGCAGTGAGGGTGGAGACAGAAACCCCAGGCAGTTGGGTCAGCTTGCCCAAGGAACCTTGGGGTGAGATTCCCTGAGACACTGTGAGCTGATCTAGCAGCTTACTGCTCTAGAAAAGCCATACCCTCTCCTCCTCCTAGCCATATCCTCCTGCTGTTTACCTTGTGTTACTGCCACAGCTCACGCCCCTTCATGAGCTGATTTACAGAATCCCAGAATCACCTCAGTTGGAAAAGACCTTGCAGCTCCTCCAGTCCAACCATGAACCTCACCCTGACCGTTCCCAACGACACCAGATCCCTCAGCGCTGGCTCAGCCCGACTCTTCAACCCCTCCAGGGATGGGGACTCCCCCCCTGCCCTGGGCAGCCCATTCCAATGCCCAACAGCCCCTTCTGCACAGAAATCCTTCCTCAGAGCCAGCCTGACCCTGCCCTGGCGCAGCTTGAGGCCATTCCCTCTTGTCCTGGCGCAGGTTCCTTGGCTCAAGAGACTCATCCCCCCTCTCTGCACCCTCCTGTCAGAGAGCTGTAGAGGGCCATGAGGTCTCCCCTCAGCCTCCTCTTCTCCAGACTAAACCCCCCCAGTTCCCTCAGCCGCTCCCCATCAGACCTGTGCTCCAGACCCTGCCCCAGCTCCGTTGCCCTTCTCTGGACACACTCGAGTCATTCAGTGGCCTTTTTGGAGTGAGGGGCCCAAAACTGAACCCAGGAATAGGCGTGTGGCCTCACCAGTGCCAAGTACAGGGGTGAGATCCCTTCCCTGTCCCTGCTGGCCACGCTATTGCTGATACAAGCCAGGATGCCATTGGCCTTCTTGGCCAGATGGGCACACTGCTGGCTCATGTTCAGCCAGCGATTTAGGTCATCACTTCAGCAGAAAACTAACACACATTCATTTTTTTAATTTTGCCTAGTAATCAGCACAGTGACATAGACAAGAGAAGTTTGTACCTGGCACAATACACTTTCATGACACAATTCCACCAGCACAAGAAGGAAGCCATGGAAACTTGTGCTGTGTGCCTGGCTACAGGGAGGCACAGAAAAGCAGTGGCAACTGGGAGGCATGTTTGAGAAGATCAAACTCTGCTGGCCAGGGACACTCCAAGACCAAAGAGGAGGATAAATATGAAGTGGCCTATGGTTGCAACTGCAGAGTGTTCTGAAAGTCTCCAGTATATAATAGACCATTAAACATATAGTAACTCATGTTTTTGAATCTGAAGGGCACTTTTCTTGCATTTAAACAAAATAAGGTCCCTAGCTACCCAGAAATGCATCTTCTTATCTGCAGCTAAACTTGTCACCAGTTTGATACTCAAAGTACTGAGCACTCTCTGCTTCCATTTGCTTTCATAAAAGCTGAGTGCCCTTACCACCCAAGAGCATATGTCTTTTTTTTTGCAGGGTAGGATCTTAAGATAATGGCAATCTTTACAGCCATATCAGTCAGTTAGGCAGTCAATACGCTAGCTACCAGCCACGACAGCTTTTCACTTACCTAGCAAGAGCAAGGTCTCTGACTACAAGACCCCAGGTTTGGCAATTGAAATGTGCCTGTTCCCAGGTAACCATATTAAGTGAAAAAAAGAAGTGCCTGAAACTTTTCCCATGAGCAGAAGGTGATTGTTACTTGGACTGTGGTACAGACAGCCTGGATTTGGAACCGATGGCTTTTTTATCATTGTGAAAACTATCAAAATTGAAGCAAGGAAAACGTGCTTTTTTATGAAAGGTATTTCTCAGGAGCACAAAACATACAACTTCAGTGTAATCAAAGTTGTTTTTACTACATGTAAACTTTCTTGAATGGATGTAGACATTGTTGTCCATATTGGAGGTCTCAAGGAGAAAAGGCAGTGATAGCATGCTTTTAGACTACCTGCATCATACAGCTCTGAGATCTGAAGATAAAAACTACCCATGAGTATAAATTAGGCTTTCACTGTGCCAGAGGGAGGCTCAAAACATACAGATAAAAGTAGGCTTGACCATGAATATTCCAGAATTTTCCTTTTGAGGCATCCCAGGCAGATGTCAGGGCTTCCAACAGGCCTTAATTACCCTGACCAGCCTCAGCTGAGCCCCTCACTCATGCGCCCCCTTGCCAGTTGGCTCAGGAGCTCTATTTAAGCTCAGGCCTGTGACTTCACAATCTGCCTGTGCTGCTCTGTAGTTGTCACTATCTCCAACCCTCTCTCCTGGGTGTACCTTGGATCTTCACTAAAGCCTTATCTCTAGTCCTGTCTCCAAACTGCTTGTTCTGGACCTGATTCATCACTTGGCCTTGTGTAGGACCAGAGGTAAGTGCTGGTGGGGAGGGTCTTGCCTGTGCTGTAGTCACCTTTGGCAGCCATCCTTGCCCTCCCCTGGGGTGAGCCCTATGCTCTCAGAAGGCAGGTAAGGGATGACCAGCAGAACAAAGACCCATGTGGCAGAAAACACCATCCCCTTCTAGGAAAGGAAAAGAAAGGAAACCCCTCCACTTTTATAATTATTCTGAACTATTCAGACTAACTAGAACAAGGTATTAATGGCAGATGTTTTGGTAAAAGAATGGTATGGAAAACAACTAGTAAGGAGAGGCTCTGCTTTCCAACCTATAAATAGTAACAATTCCAAAGTAAATACTACAGGAGTTGCTGAACAAGGTCTTTGCTCCGTTGTGTGGCTCTTGCTAGAGAAACCCCGTGTCCTGAAGTGCCAAGGGCAGTTCTTGGCGCTTCTAGACAGGGTGCTGTGGGGAACCGTGTCCTGCCGCCCCCGGTCTGCTCTGACGCCGGCTCTCGGCAGGCGGGGCGGGGTGAGCAGCGTCCGCGGCCTCCCAGCCCGTACGTGTGGCAGGGCCGGGGAAGCACCACGGCCCCGCGGGAAGGGAAGGGCTCCGCTCGGCTATCCCTCGGGCCCGGGCGCTGATACCTCCCTCCGGCCCGGCCCTTACCCGCCCGGCGGAGCGCAGCGCCCCGCCATGTCCTGCACCGCCCGCGCTGTTTACACCCGTCGCCATGGAGACGCTTCCCCCCTGCCCCAGGACCCTCTCGCGTGCCGCCGCAGCTGCCCCGGCAGCGCCTGATGCACTGGTG